ATTCAATGTATCTAAGAAAAAAAGATTCACTCATGCCGCTCAACAGTACTTTTCACTCGTAAATTATGAAGGTTATCTAAAAGATTTGGGCGATTTAAATGTAAAATATAAATTTAGATGTTAAATATGTACATAAGTATTGGGTGATATATGTATATATGTGAAAAAGAAAAATTTGGACTTTCATTTTTTTAAGAATCTATTTGTGGTGGCAGTGAAGTGGCGGTGGCACGTGTTTAGTTTTGTTGAGAAAATTAGGGCGAAGAAAAATAGTAATCGACACAAATCCAGAAGAACACAAAGATTTAACGAGGTTCGGCAAAGATGTCTACGTTCTCGGGAGCAGAGCAGCGAGTTCCTTTCAATAATTCAAAAAAGGATTTATAGAAAATAGGGATACCTCCTGGGGTTACTAACAGATCTATTTATAACCCCGTGAGTAAACCTTAGGCACAAAATGTAATTACAACATTACCCCTGTACCATACCACGGGGCTTTGCCCCTGCACCCCAACCCACGTAACTTCCCAATTTGGACAGATCCTTCCGCTCCGCTTCGATCCAGCGTCTGTCTCTATATGGTATATGAGTCATACCATAACAAATCTCCACCTTGGCGAATATCCAACCCCTTAGGAGAAAAAATACCTGGGAGTTCCACATGCACCACTGTGGGTTGGGCCACCATGCTTCTCTAGCAACTGCAAACATTCAACAAGTCCAAGCAATGCAAGAACTTGTTGATAGTAACTGGCTTGGTCAACATATCAGCTGCATTCTCATCAGTATGAACCTTTTGCAACAGTATCTCCCCAAAAGCAATCAACTCTCTGATCTTGGGATACTTGACATCAGTGTGCTTGGTTCTCGCATGGTACACCTGGTTCTTAGCCAGATAAATAGCACTCTGACTGTCACAATGCAACTGAACTCCACCTTGTTCAACGCCCAGTTCCTTTACTAGCCCAGCAAATCATAAGGCTTCTTTAGCAGCTTCAGCTACTGTCATGTACTCAGCTTCAGTTGTAGATAACGCCACAATAGACTGAATTGTTGATTTCCAACATATAGGCCCTCCACCAAGAGTAAGCACATACCCAATTGTAGACCTTCTGCCATCTAAATCACATGCATAGTCTGAATCAACATACCCCACAACTGAAGGATCATTCTTCTGACTGCCAAAAATAATTCTATGTCCTACAGTACCCTTCAAATACCTGAAAATCCACTTGACTGCTTCCCAATGTCGCATTCCAGGTTTAGCCATGTATTTGCAAAATTGACTAACAGCATGAGCCAAATCAGGACGAGTACATACCATAGCATACATCAAGCAGCCAACAACATTGGCATATGGAACCTTAGCCATGTCTTCCTTTTCTGTATCTGTCTTAGGAAACTGTTCTGAAGAAAGCTTAAAATGATTTGCCAAAGGAGTGCTCACAGGCTTTGCATTGGTCATCTCAAACCTTTCCAGCACTTTCTCAACATAACCTCGTTGTGATAGACATAATCGACTTGAGCCTCTGTCTCGATGAATCTCCATTCCAAGAATCTTCTTCGTAGGTCCCAAGTCTTTCATGTCAAATTTCTGGCTCAATAAAGCTATCAAACCACGGACATCATTCATATTATTTGCAGCAATCAGTATATCATCAACATACAGTAATAGAAAAATAATAGAACCATCATCAAGGCTCTTCACATAAACACAACAATCATACTCACATCGCTTGTAGCCAATCTGCATTATGTAGGAGTCAAACCTTTGTACCATTGTCTTAGAGACTGTTTCAACCCATACAACGATTTCTTTAACCTGCAAACCAGATTCTCCTGTCCAGGTTGAGTGAACCCTTCTGGCTGCTCCATGTAAATCTGCTCCTCCAAATCACCATGCAAGAAAGCAGTTTTAACATCCATCTGCTCCAAATGCAAATCCCAAATAGCTACTAATGCAAGCACTGCCCTGATTGAAGTATGTCTGACCACAGGAGAAGAGATTTCATCAAATCTATCCCCTTTTGCTGTGAAAACCCCTTTGCAACCAGTCGAGACTTGAACTTTTTCCCTTCTTTTTCTGATACTGCTGGTTTCCTTTTATACACCCACTTGCAACTAATAGTCTTCTTTCCCTCAGGAAGCTGAACTAGCTCCCAAGTGCGGTTTTTCTGCAAAGACTCCATCTCCTCAACAATTACACCCATCCATTTCTCTTTCTCCTGGCTAGTGATAGCTCCTTGAAAAGTGTCTGGATCATCGCTGCTGATGAGAAGTGCACATGAGACTAAGTCTTCATAACCCAATCTACTAGGAGGCCTTACATTGGTGTGTCTCTGTCTATCTCTGGCTAGATTGTAATTCTGCAGATCATCTGGAATAAAATCACCAGATGTTGTATTTGAACTTTCACCTCTCTCAGAAGCTATTGGCTGTTGTTCTAAATCCATCTGCACAGCATCTGAACTGGAACTGTTCTCTGACACCTTGTCTTGATTCTGTTGTAACATAAACTGCTCATCAAAAACTAATCACTATCTTCTTTGCAATCGGATCCCAAAACTTGTATCCTTTTACACCTTTCTTGTAGCCCAGAAAGATGCACTTCTTGGATTTTGCATCAAGTTTGGATCTTTCATCTCCAGGTATATGCACATAAGCAGGACATCCAAAAATCCGTAAATGATGAAATTTAACTGGATTACCTGTCCAAACCTCTTCTGCGATCTTGCCACCCAATGATACTATTGATGAGATAACATGTCATAATCACAGCATTTGCCCAGAAACTCTTAATAAGTCTTGCATTCAGTCTCAAGCATCTTGCCCCTTCAGTTAAGGACATGTTCATCCTTTCTATCACATCATTCTGCATTAGTGTCTTGCGCACTGAAAAATGACTTTGAATCTCATGTTCCTCATAAAACTTCTGAACCTGCAAATTTGTGCACTCTGTGTCATTATCGGACCTCAAATACTTGATTTTTCTGTCAGTTTGGTTCTCCACCTCAGCTTTCCACGGCTTGAATTTAGAGAATACTTCAGATTTTTGCTTCAAGAAGTACCCCCAAACTTTCCTGGAGAAATCATCGATAAAGGTAACGAAATACTGAGATCCTCCCAATGATAACTCTCTAGTAGGGCCCCATACATCAGAATGCACATAATCAATAATTCCTTCAGTTTTGTGCTTTCCAGTCATAAAACTGACTCTAGTCTGCTTTCCAAGAATACAGAACTTACAAAGATCGAGTTTGCAGCTTTTAACCCCATGCAACAGATTACTTCTATGCAATTCTGTCATCCCACGTTCACTGAGATGACCCAGACGCATAAGTCATAGCTTTGTACTGTCATTATCTGACTCAACAGAATGAACTCCACCTACAAATGTACTCCCCAACAGTTTGTAGATATTGCCTGCAGTTAACTTTCCTTTCATCACCGTCAGTGCACCCTTAACAATTCTGATGGTTTCCCTATCCTCATCAGCCTTAGGAATAAAACCATTTCTGTGTAGAGTGCCCAAGGAAATCAAATTCTTCTTCAGATCTGGAATATGTCTGACATCACATAACGTTCTAACTGTGCCATCATACATCTGAATTCTGACTTCTCCAATACCAACTATATTGCAACATCTATCATCACCCAAATAGACTGAGCCAGAATTTGTTGACCTGTATGAAGTAAACCATTCCATGTTATGTGTTATATGATAATGAATCAAGAATCCATGCATCCGTGAACTGAGTTGATGAAACTGAGAGCATATCGCCATCACTGCAATCTGAATTTTCACTCTGCACCACATTTACAGACTTTGATGAAGCATCACCTTTCTCCTCAGTCTGCTTCTTCAGCTTTGGACAATCTCTCTTCATATGACCTGGTTACTTGCACTTGTAGCAATGAATTTCTTTTTTGTCTCTAGACTTTAATCTGGAATTTCGCCTTCCAAATCCTCCTTCTTTTTCTTCCTTCCACGATCTTGCTTACTCTTCACATATAAACTGTCACTGTGAGAGCTTTCCCTTGCATTCTGCTTCCGCTAGTTGTGAGCCAACGCTGCAGTAATCTCATCAACTTTGATAGTCTCTTTCCCATATGTCAGAGTAGTCGCCATGTGTTCATAGGAAGAGGGCAATGAACACAACAAAATCATCGCTCGATCTTCATCCTCAATACTCACATCAAACCGTGACAGGTCTGTGATTATTTGATTGAAGTCATTAATATGCTGCGCCAGATCAGACCCTTCTTGCATCTTCAGCCCATACAACTTTTGCTTCAGATACAACTTGTTCGTCAGAGATTTTGTCATAAACTGAGTTTCTAATTTCTTCCAAATCTCCCCTGGAGATTTTAAATTCATCACGTGATACATAACCTCGTCTGTCAGACATAGACTTATCGTCGCTACCGCTCGCTATTGCAATTCTTCCCAATCTTCATTCTCCATGACATATGGTTTTGCTGCCCGCAAAGCCTTCAAGATTCTCTGTTGCGCCAACAGATCTTTTACCATGGTTTGCCACAATCCGAAAAGAGTTTACAAAAAACAGGGATACACCCTGGGGTTACTAACAGGCTTATTTATAATCCCAAGAGTAAACCCTAGGCACAAAATGTAATTACAACATTACCCTTGTACCATACCGCGGGGCTTTGCCCCCGCACCCCAACTCACGTAACTTCTTAATTTGGACAGATTCTTTCGCTCCGCTCCGCTCCGGTTCGATTCGATCCAACGTCTGCCCCTATATGATATATGAGTCATATCATAACAAGTTTATTGAGAGCAATAAATATTCCAGCAAATTATTGAGAGCAGTAATTGGTATAACATGAGAAGAAGCGAAATCCTTTAAGCTATTTTGAAGTTATGGCTGACTTTCCAATATTATATCTCCAAAAAAATTTGGTCCGCACACATTTTATTCCCTGATTCCTTGTGATGCCTCTTTAGAGAAAGCCGGTTATCAACTGAGCTCCAACCAAACGAACAAGGAGATGGCCGACAACCTGGTTTCCAAGCTGCTGGAGATGCTGTTCCAAATGGCAAAGGATGAGTTAACGATGCAGATGGGTTTGACCGTCGATGTGAATAAGCTTCAGCTGAACCTCGAAAAACTTCAGTGCTTTCTCAAAGACGCTGAGAAGAAGAGAATCGAGGATGCTTCCACAAATCTATGGCTCAAGCAAAGCAAGGATGTCATGTACGACATCGAGGATGTGCTCGACGAGTATCATGCCCTCCACCTCTCAAGAAGCGGCGCCCACGACAATTCTGGTTCTTCGTCGACTCCGACCCATCGCCGACCATATAAAGAGGTATGCCGCTCTATCCGGCTTCACTTCAAGAAGCCCGTATCCAAACATAACATTGGCGTCCAGATTGCAGAGCTTAATAAAAGGTTGACAGAAATCATGGGCGAAATACCCAGATTAAAGTTATTAAGAAGCTTCCCAACCATTGATCCTAACCAAGCAGCACACAATCAGTTGGCGGCTCGCATGACACGTCCTTCGGTGGTTCCTACAGATATAGTAGGCCCTTACATACATAATGATGTTCGGTGCTTAGTTGAGACGTTGACTGAACAGGATGACCGTGACAATCCTCTTGTGTGCGCCATCGTTGGGATGGGAGGGATTGGCAAAACCACCCGAGCTGAATTAGTATTTGATGATCCCACGATCAAAAACTGCTTTGACCAAATGGTCTGGGTCCGTGTGTCCCAGAGTTATGATGTTCTTGATATATTGAGAAGCATCATCAGTTCAGCTGGTGGAGACGATAAGCAATGTCACGATCCAAACTTGCTCAGTGAGAAGGTTATGGTTAGCCTGCAAGGCAAAAGGCTATTTATGGTGTTGGATGACTTGTGGGAGACTGAGAAACTGTGGAAGGGCGTGTTGAGAAGCTTGCTCAAGAGCGCCGCCGCAAAAGGGAGCAGGGTGCTCGTCACCACGAGAAACATGAAGGTAGCGCATCAGATGATGGCAATACATGCCGTTCAAGTGGAGCCCCTCCCTCTGGAAGATGGATGGTCGCTGCTCTGCAAGTCAGCTTTCCCTGTTTGGCAGCAGCAGGAAGCAAAGGATGATGTATGGAACCTCAGAGATATTGGAATGAAACTTGTCAAAAAATGTGATGGACTGCCGCTAGCGATTAATATCATAGGTGGAATGCTGTCCGCGGTGAGCAGAACAAAAAAAGCCTGGAAGTTGGTTCTCAAGAGCAGCGCGTGGGAGGTGAATGGGCTTCCTGAGGAAATCCACTCGGCTTTATATATAAGTTACCAAAACTTACCTTCGAATATCAAGCAATGTTTCTTGTATTGTTCCTTGTTTCCTAACAACGATTGTTTTAGTTCTGCGGAAGCTAAAAAGCTTTGGATCCATGAAGGGCTCATCAAAGATGACACGTACGCAGAGTTGCTTGGGGTTGCAGGTAGTTATATTTCGATACTATTACAGAGAAACCTCTTAATGGTCAAGCCACGCGGCGTAACTTCCCTTCCCATCTCGCTTAGCATGCATGACCTTGTTTACTCGCTCACTCAGTTTCTAATGCAAAATGAGAGCCTTGTAGCTACCGGGGAAGAAAGTTTAAACAATATATTCATTGGAAGGACGATGAAGCTACGGCGTCTTTCTTTTGTTGGTGGCGGCGTCAAAACTATGAACAACCTCCCAAAAAACCTAAAAGAACAAGTATCATTGAGGACTCTTCTCATCTTTGATAAGTCGATTTGTGAAATTGATAAAGACCTTTTCAATCATCTTCCTCGTCTAAGGACACTAAGGCTTGAAAACACTAATGTTTCAAGCTTGCCTGACTCCCTGGGTTCCCTTAAGCTCCTCAGATACCTAAACCTGTCAAACACTCCTATAAGGGAGCTGCCTAAAACCATCAAAAAGCTCAAAAGTCTGAGGAGTCTTGATGTTTCTAATTGTGTGAACCTCTGTAATCTTCCCTCAGGCGTAACGAAGTTGCACTGCATATGTTCTCTTCTTACTAAAGGTTCTGGTTTGACCCATATTCCACCTGGATTGGGAAGGTTGAACAAACTACAGTATCTCGACTTCATTATGCCTTCGGAGGAAGCTACGCCGAAATCATCTACTATTCAGGAGTTGGGGACACTCACGGAACTGAGGTTTGTATTGTGTATTAATCGGTATTTAAAATTGTTCCATGAACTAACTATTTGCGCATACTTGAAAAAATAATTTAATTAAAATATGGGTATAAAAATAACAATTTAACTAACGAAACTACTGGATTGTTTATCAGAGAATTAGGTTTGTGCAAGCTGGAAAGGATGTTGGACAGGTCACAAGCAAAAAGTGCTAATCTCAAAGACAAAAATCACCTTCGAACTCTCAAATTGTGTTGCTCAAAAAGTGATTCTAATCAAGTGTTGATGAATAATACACAAGCGAAAGAAGTTGCCGATAAAATCGTGGAGATTTTTGAGGATCTTTGTCCTCATCCCGAACTAAACGCTCTTATTTTTGAGAATTATTATGGGAGCAAGCTACCAAATTGGCTGGGAGATGCTTCATTTGATTGTCTATCAGTCTTGCAAATCATTGACTGTAACTATTTTAAGCAGCTTAATGGCTTAGGATTGTTGCCCAGCTTGGAAGTACTTAACATTATAGGTGCATCATCAATAAAGAGCATTGGACCAGCATTCTACACAGGCAACGACAAAAGCAATATAGAGAATTGTACATTCTTTCCGAGAATGAAGGTGTTGATGTTTTTGAAAATGGATAGCTGGGAGGAGTGGATTGGTAGTTCGGGGAAAGCCAAGCGTATGATGCCTAAGTTGGAGGAGTTAATAATTGCTGAATGCCCCAAACTCAAGTCATTTCCCAGAGAACTCCTACATCATGCGGCTAAGTCTTTGAAAAAAATAAGAATATACAAGACTAGAAAACTTCACCTGAAAGTGGTACACAAACTCCCTCGTTTGGAACTACTTGTCCTTCAAAACCTCCCCAAGCTGGAGAGAATCTCTCGACTTCGAAATCTTCAAGATCTATGCATAGTGGACTGCCCGGGAATTAAGTCTATGAAGCTTGAGCAACATTTGCGTTTCATTAAGTGGGATGATTTCAATACCGACTCACTTCCAGGATGGTTTCCCACTGATGATGGATATGGCAACGAAAACAGATTAAAAGCAATTTTCTTAGGAATTTCTTGCAAGGAGGAATTGGTGAGCAAGATATGCCTCAAAGGGCAAAATGAAGCTGATGAGATGTCTAAAATATTTCAACATTTTGACAACATCGCTGTCTGCAATGAGGAACGTTTGAGGCTCAGCTACACCAAAAATCCCAGGAACTTCATCGTGCATCCAGTTGAGGCACCAGAAATAATACAAAAAGTTGAGTAGAGGAGGAGGAGCAGACGACCACAATTTTTAAACCCAAGCTGCTCATTCATAAATCTTTCTTATGTCTGCTCTAATTTCTCTTTTATGCACCCTTGATGACTGTTATTGATTAACTTGAGGTTCACTTTTTATTACGCCGATATGTATTAGCCAGTGTGTTGAATCATACTAAGCATATGAGATGGAATACCCATTTAGCTCAACTCAAACTGGACTATGTTATATCCATGATGAATATACTTAAATACTAAACACAATCTTCTTATCTATAAAATAATGAAAGATGAAATATAATAGTAAACTAAAAATAATAAATATTATCGATAAATATAGTAGCAGTCATACTAATTGTTGAACATATTCATTTTCTATGTTTTGTTCAATCCATTCAGTGTTACATTTTCCATCTTTATAAATCTAAAAATAAACAGACTTCAATTTCAATTTTGTTTATTTTCTGAAGATATTAAATGAAACCAGACCTAAAAGTGAAATATAAATTTTTATGGGTAGGTAAGGTGACATTATGTAAAAATAAAGTACGAGTGTTGAGATATGTAAATACAAAAGAAATGAGTGGTTTGTATGTAACTATTCTTTTTTTACAAATTATTACGCCCATTATTGATGGTTCCCAATAAGAAAGAGTGGCCACGTCCCTGCATTGTATAATTATATATATATATATATATATATATTAATACTTGTTTTTCACATCGGTATATGCATATAGGAATAAAATTAAGGGGCATTTACATATATATCACCTAATTCCTAAACTTTTTATGTTTATTGGACTCAAATGTTTCATTTCACGACAAATTTATTTCAATATTAACTTCGGAAAATTGAAATACAGCTTTTCATGCCCAGGTAAGGTGGCATAGATGTTAAAACTGAAATTTAGGTGTTCAATATGTAAATAGATAGGAATTCAGTGGTACCTATGTAAATCTTCCTAAAATTATTTATACTCAAATAAAAGCTTCAAGGATGTTAAGGATATAAATCCAAAATTTAAGGCAGCACGCTTGAACATGATGCGCAAATAAAGCTTCAATAAAGGAGCTGAAATGGGGAGTGCTTAAGGCACACATTTTTTATCCGGACCTCTGATGTACCTCTACATGTGGTGCAGGTTATTCCTGAGTTATTTTCAGGTTCTTTCTGGGTTATTTTCAATAATCCCGAAATAACCCAAAAATAAAGACCGCGGGTTATTTCTTGATTATTTCGAGATTATTGAAAATAACTCAGAAATAACCTGAAAATAACTCAAGAATACTCTGCACCGCACGTAGAGGTACATCAGGAGTCCGCACAAAAAAATTTTTGGTGCAAAGGTCTATTTGAAAAAAAAAAATATTATTATTATTATTTTATTTTTCAGATATCAGCATAATTTTTTTTTAGTTATTATTTTGTTATTATTATTTAAGTTTTTATTTTTATAATTTACTGTTATTTAAATTTTTAATAGATGAAATACGTCTTTTAATGTAAAGTGACATATTTATAAAAATTAAATTTTAGGTGTTAGATACATAAATACAGTGAAATATTGGTGCCATAAAACCATCGGAAACAAATAGATATCGGTTGGTTCCACTAAAGGGATGACAAGAAGACTAGAGAGAGATTGTATGATTGATGCCCAAATTATACCATAGCTTCAGACCTATTATGTCTTATCACAATTATCTTATAGCTTCTGGGAAGACATTTTTGACATTGTTGTTAGATATAGGCATATGTTCTCGTTGAAGAAGGACAACGTAATCACTCTTTAGAGAAAATTAAAGGTGATTTCAATCCATGCTATATATTTCTAGAAGGCATGATAGCCAATATCTATGTTAGGATTGGGCATGGAAGATGGGATCGTCGGCTAGGAACAATGATGAAATATTGATGAAGTGAAGTGGTGGGTGATTCATAAAAAAAATATTGAATTCATGTAGCTGGCGGCAAAACCAACCATCGACAGTTGCGACCGTGGCCAAGTCATTGAATGCGGTCTGCATGAAGGATCTAGCAAATGTTCTGTTTTTTTAGGCACTATAACATGAGGGGTTTTACAAGAAAGGAACAATTAACATACGGTTCATTTCTAGTCATGCGAGTCGTCAACCCAGTCTTAATTTGAGTAATAATATTATATGGTATTATGGTTGGATTGGTATATTATATAACAGCGTGTCATGTGGATAGCATGATAGTCTTTTGAGCACAAGGAAGTGGGCCTTGTAGAGGAGCATACAGGGTTCTGAAAAAAGCCGTTCTGTGATATCGTAGAAAGCTGGTGATTTGTCAATAAGATGCAGGATTGTTGAAAGTTATGATAGAAGCGTTAACTGAAGATGTGGGGTGGGTGCAAGTGAGAAGAGGTTTGCAACTTCATACTTGTTGCATGCTGAACTTCTATAACATACTTCTCATGATTAAAAAAAAGCCTTGAGGTGTATAACAAACTTAAAATCAAGGTATATTTTATTGTTGAGTTGCTTCACATTAAAAACTGAGTTCAATTTTTGGACAAGTGTCAAAGAGCTTTGGATTTGTTGTTAGTAATGAGAATGTCATCAGCATTGATAAGCGAGTAAACACTGGTTTGGTTGTAAAAGAAGCGGAGGAGAAAGGGGTCTGCATTGCTTGATTTGAATTCCTTTTACTATAGGTGACCAATGTTAAACATTGCTTCCTTAGTAGGAAACCATGGTGAGGGTGCTAGAGATCCTAAAAGTCAAGTAATTGTTTCATGTAAACTATCTCTTGAAGGAGTTCATAAAGGAATGCATTGGAGATACAGTTATTGAACTTTCTAATTTTTCTTGGCAATTGTGTAGAGCACTAATAGTCACCATTGTGGCAACCATACTAAACATTCCAGCATAATTGATGACTAGTTCTCGGTTGTGTCATTAAGCCACAAGCCATTTTTTGTAGCCAGCAATATTTCTATCGAAGTAAGATTTTACGTTGGATGTCTAGTGAGATTTGAGGACATTATAGGTGGTTAAGGGAATATGGGCCAGATCCCTAGTTGCTAAAGCGCCAGGAATTCTTAAGACAAGCATGTCTCCATTTCGTGTCCTTAATAGCCTCTGTGTAGCAAGATGGTTTGACTTACGAGTTGATAGGATGGTTTAGAAAAAGGACAGTTTTGCTTTGAAGATGACCTGTTCTGAACTTAGTTTGCATTGGAAGAATGTTGATTGTTGAAAGACATGGGCATATGCGGTTGTAAGTTTTGATTTAAGATGAAGAGGTGGTACAGGTTGGTGCAAGTAATGTTGATTCGGGGGCGGGCAGTGGTGAGAGTGAATTGCAGTTGTTGTGGGGAGGTGGTACGACAAAGAATTGTAGGACTTCAGGTGGATAATGGGAGTTGAATGATGTGAAGTACAGTGAGAATGAGAAGTTTTTAACATACTTTTTCAGAGTATAGTGGTTTGTTGAGTTTTTTTGTTTGAAGACAGGGATGCTAAGTTCATAAAAAATAGTGTCAAAAGATGACAATTTTTTGGTGATGGGCTTGTAGCACTTTTATCTTTAATGGGAGGAAGAGTGGCCAAAAAAATCATGACGAGCCAAGCGTGGACTGAGTTTGTAAGATGAACATAGCCGGTGCCATGGATAGCATGAGTAGCTGGTGGATTGTATAGGAGTTGACGAGGAAAGGTGACTTAAATTATTTTACAAGATACTTTGTTGATTGGTAGACAACAATGAGGAGAGTCTACCTAGAGGTGGTAAGGTAGTAAAGCATTAAGGAGAAAGATTCATGTTGTTTTGATAAGATAATGTTTACGCTCCACAACTCCATATGCAGACAATTATATTGGTGAATAATGACTTGAGGTTTGTTTAGATGGAGGTTAGTATATTCACAACCACCATTGGATCAGAGGATTTTGAGGCGTACTATGAATTGAGTATAAACTATGGCTTTAAAATAAATGTAGTGTCGTCTCAGATTTTTTGATCTCGACAATATATTTGCAATATCTAACAATAACAAAAGAAACCATCAATTACAGAGACAAAGTAGAGAAGCCCATCCATCATAAGATTTCATAAAAGGTGGAGGAAATAGTTAAAATGTCTACAGCGTACTTTGTGAGAACTTGAAGCTTGTGGTGCAAGGTGAAAGTAAACTAGATGTAAGGCGTTAATGCTAGTTCCCTATAGAAGTATTTTTTTGTATTTCAAGACCTTGATGAGGCATCCAGAGGAATGAAAAAAAATGAAACATATATCTTCAATAGTTATTTTATTTACAAAGATAAGATTACAAGATGGTGTATCCTCTTTGAGATTGATTCTTTAGGTGTTTAAGTCTCAACCCTCTCAGCTTGCTAATTTTGGTAAAAACTAACAACCATTCTATAATCAAATTATCCTTGTCCTAAATGCTTAGACATAATCACCATGTTCATATGTGCATGAATAAAAATTAGAACTTCGATAATGTATTTGAAAGAAGAATAGATGTGATGAAGAGGATTTTTTGTTGAGAAAGAGAGCGAAGTAAGAATAAGTGGTGACGACGATGACAGATGACTAGTAGTGGTGACAGCGAAGGACAGTAGTAGCGACAACGACTAAGAACCACATGAGAAACTCGATCCAAAACTTCTGTGAGGCTAAGTGTAACACTAAGTATGTTATTTAAACATTTGTTTAAAAAAAATCCTAGTTTTTAAATTTGCACACCTGACTTAGATTAAGGTGAGGCACACAAGGTCAATAAGGCACAAGTCTTATTGTGTTTTCTAAAAAAAATATTGAGCCATATCTTGTATTATGAAATTTTAAACCATGGCAAGAACTAATATCTGCCACCAACAAACAATAAAAAGATTTTCTTGAGCAAAAAAGACTACATATATGAGAACTTAAGAAGTATAATTTAAAAGCAATCACAATCTCAAATCACATATATATACTCAAAACTTATACTCAGCAATCTCTATGCTCTGGTTATAATGAAATGAGGATCTAACTCTCAGTGCTCCTCGATCTTCTTCAACTCCTTCATATTGGTGGTGTCCACCCTGCATGGAGAGGGAAGTCACGTGATAAAGACCCATCATAACTCTAAATTTAAATGATAATCGATCTATTATTCATGATAAATAAGGGTAGAAAAAAAAATTTTCTATGGTAGTCGATTAAGTTGCTTGAGATTTAAAAAAACTAACTTTTTGATTAATTTATTTATTTATTTTTCCTTTTTCTTTTTTGTGCTAGGTAAAGTTAGATATCAGTATTGATTTCAAGCTTCATAAACTCTTCACTCAATAATAATTTTATTTTCACAAAACAAAAAAATGAAATAAATATTCATCTAAAACAAATGTCTCTATCCATAGATAATTAAATAAGCCCTAAGGGGAATATCTTGTTGATGCACAATTATGTCCCACTATATGTCAACAAATACAACAACATAGTCTAGCCGTTTTGCCATTGTTCAATCATGGCCGACAAGCGTGAACTTCCCAACATGCAACAAGTTGTTTTCTTCAGCTAATTTTCCCAAACTAGGAAGCAGTTTTCACAAATAGTACTTTCTAAGGGTACAAACACATGGTTTTGAGCTGCAGGCAAGTGGAGACAATTTTAATGGATATGTGCAAATTCAACTTTTTGTGTGCTAAACAGATAAATTCAATGAAATGTTTCAACTTTATGTGTGCTAAACTGATAAATTCAATGAAATGTTCTGAATACACAAAAGTAGTTGTTATTAAAGTCATTTCTATTTTTTAAGTCGCTAGTCCTCATATTCTAAGTAGTCATGTAAAATAAAGATTGATTTGGGGCAGCAGCAGCTTATTCAATAATTTGCTGATAAGCTGATTAAAAATAATCTCCTAAAAATCTAGGCGCGGTGGCTGTTACAAATTTTTTTTTTTTTTTGAAAAGTCAAACCGCAGCCAAAAAGCTCCAACCAAACCTAGCTAGGTGCGGTGTAAAAATGTTTTTTTCAGCGTTTTGAAAACGCATAAACTATCAAAACGCAATTTACCCAAACAGGCGGGGTGCGTTTTTAAAACGCAACTGCATCAAATAAGCTGCCCCAAACAGACACTAAACCAACAAACATGTAACCATGTGTTTTGTTAAGCCATTATCATCTAAACATTTGCAACTTTTAGAAAATAAGTGACTTGGTTTCTAGCAAAAGATGAATTCACTAGAAACTAACACAACACTTCTTGACAATCATTATTGCCATTCCATTAAAATTAAACTACACATAAAGTAATACTTAATGCAAGGCTTCAGACGAGGCTAAATGAAGATTTCCATTAAATCCACTTGTACAAATTCTACTCTAATAAAATTTAGCTTTTGATACTGATCATGCAAATTTTTCATAACATCTAAAACACCTATAGAGCAATCCATAAATCATCAAAGTCGAATTTGTATCTTCAGTCGACAAGGTCCCTTTAAAATCTACGACCAATGGCGGACACAATCTCATCATGGATGGAACACAAATTCAACATAAACAAATCATTAGATTAATGACTACAAATAAATACTAATTCTCTCATATATTTCATCGTATTTTGTTAATTTTTTATGTTGTTTTCAGTTAAAATATTATCTGCAAAGTAAGAATGTCAAATATAAAAAATGTAATATGAGATAGAATTTTACCAAAGTGAGGAACGAAATGCAGAATCACTTCAGTCCACAAAATCATATCACCATTGCCACTTCACATTGCCAAGTTATCAAATTTAAGTCAAAACAAGCATGGCCAACCACATTTCAAGACTTTTAGAGGATCCAAGTCCTTGGTTCAATTATAATGCGTGAACAAGGGTGAAGTTAGGGTCGTAAATCTAAGATGTAATGGTTGTAATTAACCCTGGGCTATTTATAAAGAAATTCTTTTGATTTCTGGTGTGATCACACCAAATATCCAAATCTAATGAATTTTTTAATTGAGAAATATTGAAATGGGAAATAAAAAAAAAAAAAAAAAGAAAAAAAGATTATCGTTATCTTAACTGCATTTATAATTTAAAAAAACAAAGACGATCAATTTCAATTTAATTAATCCCTTGTTGATTTCAAAATTAAAATCAAGATAGCTCAAAGACCTCATAATAAACTTTAAATATAAATTTCATGGCATGGTGATCATTAAGGGGGTGCTTGGGGCGTCAGTGTGGTGTCGCACCGTAGTTTTTCCTGTTTGGTAAAACTATTTTTCTTCTGCATTCTAAAAAAACTACAGTTAAAAGCTACATTTTCCCATCATATTTGGCTACCAACGGTGGCCGCTAAAAAGTTGCGGTCTAACTATTCAAAAAAATAAAAATAAAGATTTGTAGTAGTCACCACAGTCTTTTGAACAGCAGTTTCTTCTTCAACAGCTCCACAACTGCTTCTTCAAACAGTTGCATCTTAAAGTGCATGTTTGAAATTTTTTATAGCTTAAGATAGCTACACAAAAAATCATAGGTCTACATACAAAAATTAGAAATTTCTATGAAAAGTAGGTGAGGGCTTCAACATTTTTTTACATGTCCCTAAATTAATTTTCAATTCTGAAACTAATTTACTAGGTTTATTTATTTAAAAATACAGATTTACATTACTTTTCATATATATATATATATATATATATATATATATAATATTATAAAATCTTAATCAAATTTATAGTTGTTTCTTAGCTAAATATACACCTCCCTAAATTTTCTTGAGACTTAATTTGACCATTTGTAAGAGTTCGGTATTTTTTATATAAAAAATAGCCTTAACTAAAATTACCATTTAACTCTTAGATAATCCCAAGACTACGTGTCTCATAAGTTCTAGAATCTATTTTAAGCTACCCAAGTTTATTTGGATTTGTGGAGAGGCTTGCCTATACTCATAATTGAATTGCTATTTATTTCAATTAATTAATATAAGAAAATATACAAAATGTCATTAGGAGATTTGGAATAAATTAAACGTGATATTTTAACCGTTTGAGTGCAATCACAAGATTTTCCAGAATCAACCTGTTTTTAAAATAAATTAATTAGAGAAAATAACACATTTGGTTTAATCTATTCTTAATATAATCATACCCATTTGAATATGTTGCTCAACCGCATAGTTGTGTGCTCTTTTGACTTCGAAAACCCCTAATTTTAATCATACTTTTTTAGCTATGTTCATTCATAGCCTAGTCATGCTCACATGATTGTACTTCTCAGCATGATGTGATGACGCTCTTTAATTGGATCTCCTTTGATATGCTTATGATATTTTAACCATATCAATCATATCTACACAAAATTTAATAACGCATTTTTTATATTTATCATTGATTTAGCCATAATATTATAATTATGCCACTCCCGAATAAAGTAATGTTGTCTTGGCCCAACTATCGCTATTTTAGTGATCTTTTTAAAAAATCGCTTGGATTTAGCCATACTAATTTGATTGAATTATGTCTCAATTATGATTACACATTGTTTAAAGTCACTTTTGCTATATGACCATATCTCATGATTGAATACCCTTTGCTACAATCATTTTGTAATATTACGATATCTTGTGATTGAATACCCTTTGTGGCATAGAGTATGATCGTGTCCAAATCATTCTTTTTCTTGTCAAATAGACTATCTCTAAATAAACTTAGCCTTACACTCAGAGCGTGTAAAACTCATTTTGAATGTCAAAAATCTTTCCAACTTTTAAGAGACCATACCTTATTCAAATACTTGAATCCCGACCTTGATAATTAACAGTCTAACTATATCTTTTGCATATTTTTGTATATGTATGTGCATGGGATCAATTAGCACAAATTAATAGAGAATGATCACTTTAGCCCAACTATCGCTATTTTAGTGATCTTTTTAAAAATCCCTTGGATTTAGCCATACTAATTTGATTGAATTATGTCTCAATTATGATCACACGTTGTTTAAAAGTCACTTTTGTTATATGACCATATCTCATGATTGAATGCCCTTTGCTAAAATCATTTTGTAATATGACCATATCTTGTGATTGAATACCCTTTGGGGCATAGAGTATGATTGTCTCCAAATCATTCTTTTTCTTGTCAAATAGACTATCTCTAAATAAACTAGTCTTAGACTCTGATCATGTAAAACTCATTTTGAATGTCAAAAATCTTTCTAACTTTTAAAAGACCATACCTTGTTCAAATACTTGAATCCCGACCTTGATAATTAACAGTCTAACTATATCTTTTGCACACTTTTGTATATGTATGTGCATGAGATCAATTAGCACAAATTAATAGGATATGGTCACTTTAGTCTTAATACTTGGATCTATTCATGATAGGATAGTCATTACTGGGTGACAATTCACCTGAAAATGAGAATCATCCCATCAAAAAACTTACATCTATTCATGATTATTCATGAATACAAAAAAGCTAAGGAATGTCATCTGAATTATTTGTTTTTAAATTAGGATGAGTATTTAAGCTATATGTAAGTCAAAATTTTAAAATATTTCAATTCATTTCTTTTAAAAAAACATATTTATTTATTTTCAAACCTCTTTAAACCCAACTAATATTTAATTTAAGAATTAACTTCACAAACTTAATATTAACATGCCAGCCTTAGTTTGATTGGATTTATTGAGATAAATTAGTTTAGTAGTATGTCACAATCATATGAATTGAACTATTATGATATAAAGACTTTTACAAACGCTTAAATTTTGTACTAGATTACATCCTTTTAGTCGTTTAGCATGGAGCTAACGTGCAATTTGATCGATGTTTTGCTCAAGAATCCTGATGCCCAGGACATTTATCAGATTGTGTGTTTAGTTAAAAAAACTCATTGTGATGCACATTTGATTAAGACAAAGGCCTTTAGTGCCAAACAGATAAATATTACTCTTTATTTTTTATAGGATCCATCAATCAAAACACAAATATACTTAGCTTCAGTAGCCACCAAACGATTTTTATTGTGATGTAAAATTTTATTTGGTTTTCTTTTGTAACTTCTAATTTTTTGAGATCACCAATATATAAGCC